TGATTTTCTGTCTTGTCCTGTATGGATTTCTGTAGTTCATGCATTTGTTTTGATAACTTCTAAATGTTCTTTTCATAAATTTTTTGAATTCCGTATCTTGCATTTCTTCTATCTCATCATCTTCATAATCTTGTATTGGAGTGTCATGTCCATTTGGGAGCATCATCGTGTCTTCCTCGTTCTGGTTTACTCAGTTTTCCATTTGTTGTTTGGCATTGTGGAGATATTCTTTGGTTTCTTCTTTTCTTTTTCTTGCTGCAATGGCTTTTCTCATTATACTATGACTCTAGATTAAGTGTACTGTCTGCTTTTTTTGAATATCTAGAGGCTTATGATGGGTATGGCCAGAGAGCTCTATTCAGTTCTTCAGGGTTAATGGTGTGCCAAAGGTGATACACCCAAGTTTGGTATGGTAAATCTTCTCTTCCTCTTTTTTTTTTTTTTTTCAGAAGGGAAGTAATTCCGCTCAGCTGAGCTCTTCTACTTGATGGCAATCAGTGCCTGAGCACTAATCCCAGTGTGTATAATATTCTCCTGCTCTGTCCCAAAGACCCCACAAAGGAACTGTGCAGTCCTCAATATAAGCTCAGATTCCCCTGCAATGTCTCTCACTGGGTTGTCAAGGGTACCAAGTTTGTGGCGTCTCACACGGAGACTACTCACATCTCAGCCACACTGTGAGTTCTCCCACACCCCCTTAATTTTTTTTAAATCACAGTTCTGGTTCATAAGCTCCATACGGTCACTAGGTCTTAGTCTCCTATTATTACTCAAGTTTTTCTGTTTGGCTGAGGGCAGATGCAGCTCTGAGCTGTCGCAGCTGTTATGCATGTCCAAAATAGCGTCTGCTCTGTTGTCACGCATGCCTTTGTAAGGTGTATGGAGAGAGAGAATCATGCCCGTACCATCCCTTTTGTTTTTCTCTCTCCTCTAGTTAGGCTGGTGTACTTTCCTCCACGGGGCTTCAAGCCTCAATCCTTCTAGGCTGTTCCTGCCACTTTTCCACCAATGTCTTGGGTTACTGCAGTTTCACCTCACCTCTGTTTCCAGTGTTGGTGTGGAGGAGAAAAGTCTCGGCAGCTGGGCTCCTGAGTCATGGGAACCCATGTCCTCCTCGTAGATCCACTGTGTCCCTCTAATTCTGGAAGAGTTCCCTTTGCAGTTTTTTCCCTTACTCTTCCCTGAGACTTCACTATATCCACTTTTATTAAACTATCTTTCCCTGGACTATCAGTGAGTTCCCTCCCTATTATGCCATCTTGGAGCCACTCCAAAAATAAGAATTATGACATATCATTATTGCTTTTCAGCCTTTTGGCTAAGATCAAGTGATAAGCTGTCATTTTTTTGATTGTATCATGATTTTACCTGCTCTGTTACTGAATGTGGTGGTGACATGTGTTTCATGTTTACTTCTAATGAAATACACCCTTCAGGATTTCTTGTAAAACTGGTCTGGCTGTGGTGTTCTACATTTTTGCTTATTTGGAAAATACTATATTCCCCTCATTTTCAAAGGACAGCTTTGTTGGATATAATATACTTGTTTGGATGTTTTTCATTTAAGTCCTTGAATATAACATTCCGTTCTCTTCTGGCCTGTAGAGTTTCCACTGTGAAATTTGATTTTAATCTAATTGGTTTTCCTTTATATTTGACAATGCTTTTCTCTGTCTTTAGGATTCTTTTCTTATCTTTAGCTCCTGACAACTTGACAATAATGTGCCTTGGAGAAGACTTTTTCTGGTTGAGTCTGGTGTTATTTGAGCTTCTCGTATCTGGATGTCCATGTCTCTTTTGAGATCTGGGAATTTTTCAACTATTATTTCATTTAGCAGGTCCTCAATGCATTTTCCTTTACTTCTCCTTCAGAAATATCTATAATACAAATATTTGGTCATTTAATGGTATTCCATATTTCACATAAACTATTAATCCTTTATCATTTGCCATAGTTTGCAAATATTTTCTCCCATTCTGTCAGTTGCCTCTTCACAATACTAATGTGTTTACTTTGCATTGCAGAAGCTTCTTAGTTTGATGTAATCTCATTTACCTGTTTTTGTTTTGGTTGCCTGTGCTTCTGGGGTCTTATCTATGAAGTCTTTGTCTATGTCAGTGTCTTGCATAGTTTCTCTGATATTTTCTCTTGTAATTTGATGGTATCAGGTTATAGATTTAGATCTTTGATCCATTTCAAGTTCATTTTTGTATAAGATGTAAGGTAGGGGTCTTGTTCATACTTCTGCATGTGAAGATCCAGTTTTCCCAATACCATTTGTTGAAGAGACTGTCCTGTCTCCAGGGATTGATTTTAGCTCCTTTGTCAAAGTTTAGCTGGTTGTAGATGTGTGGATTACTTTCTGGGGTTTCACATATGTTCCATTGGTCTACATGTTTATGTTTGTGCCAGTACCAGGCTGTTTTTGTTATAACTACCCTATAACATATCTTGAATTCTGGTGTCGTCATTGCTCCAGCTTTATTTTTATTATGTAGGGTTGCTTTCACTATTAAAGGTCTCATGTGTTTCCATATGAATTTTAGAGTCATTTTTCTGGATCTTAGAAGAATGTCATTGGTATTTTCATTTGGATTGCATTGATTGTGTAAGTTGCTTTGTGTAATATGGATATTTTGATGCTATCAATTCTTCCAATTCATGAGCATCAAAGGATTTTCTATTTTTTGTGTCTTTGTCTATTACTTTCTTTAATTTTTTGTAGTTTTCAATATAGAGAACTTTCACATCCTTAGCTAAATTTATTCCAAGGTATTTAAATTTTTTATTGATGTTGTAAATGGTAATAATCTTACTAGTTCCTTCTCAGCTATTGCATTGTCTGTGTATATAAAGGCTATTGATTTTTGTGTGTTGATTTTATTTCTTACTTCTATACCAACCTCTCTAGTCACTTTGTGGAGTCTTTTAGTTACCTTATATATGGAATCATGTAATCTGCAAACAGAGATAATTTGAATTCCTCCTTTCCAATGTGTCTGCCTTTTTTCTTGTTTAATGGCCTTCGCTAAAATTTTAGAACTGTATTGAATAGCTGTTGTGAGAATGGGCATCCTTGTATGCTTCTGGATGTTAGTGGAAATGCTTCCATCTTTTCCTCATTCTGTATGATGCCTGCTGTAATTTTGACATATATTACCTTGATTGTGTTGAGAATTATTCCTTCAATGTGCCCAATTTGCTTATATCTTTTTTTTGTTCATGACAGAATGCTATATTTTTTCCCATCTTTTCCCTGCATCTATTGAGACAATCATATTGTTTTTATTCTTCAATTTTTAATGTCATGTATAAACTCCCAAATATATGTTGATTCTCTTTCCTGACTTTAAATTTCTCCATCCAGGATTCTATGCTTCATGATTTCCCAGAACGCTCTTCTAGATATATCTGAAGATTGAATCTCCCTTCAGATTAATATTTCCCTTTCAATTTTCCTCAGTTTCTTGTGTCCACTACTCTGATGAGAAACTTGCTGATCTTCACCCTAAGCTTGGCTAGGAATCATACATCTCACCTTGCCCTCTTTTAGCTGCTTCAATGCATTAATTTCCAAATCCTTTCCACAATTCTTCCACTTCTCAAAATTTTTACTTCATAATAATCTGCTCTGCCCCTTTTGTAGTTTAAATATTCTCCATCTGGGAAGGTTTATATTGACTTCCCGTCTCCCTAATTTCCAGTCCCTCTCCACTCAATTATATTCTTTTTGAAGTATACTGGTTTTGCTGAATGTTAGATGTGAGACAAGAGAAATCTAAGGGCTAGAAAAGACAGGGAAGATGTTTTTGTGAGTCTTAAATTGAGACAAAATAAACTGCAAGAGAAGTGTTTTGTAGGCAAGATATAGAGGTCAGTTTTGGACTTTTTATGTTCAAAATGCCAATCTGGAATCCACTTATAGATGTCACTTAAACAGTTGGGAATGAGCCCAGGAAGAGATCTGGGCCAGAGTTATAATGTTATACTTATTAGCAATATAGGTGCATATTTAAAGCCAAAAGACTGAATGGGATCATTATGGAAGTGAGTATAGACATAAAAAGTAAGAGGTCAAAGAAAGAACTCGGGTTTTTATGTCAGAATGCTTGCTGCACACTAAGTGTATCATGATTTCCCCCATTTTCTCTCCATGTATATTTTTTCTGTCTTTCTGGAATTTTTTTCCCAGATTCTTTGTCTTATGAAGTCTTGCTCATCCTCTTGGAACTTTCCAGAAACTTTCAGCTTGACCTAGTACAAATACTTACCATACTGCTTTGGAATTGACTATTTATATGTTTATCCCATGTCTGAATCTTTAAGATGGAGACTAATTTGCATTCCCAGGGCCTGACATGTGAAAGTCATTTATTAATACCAGCTGCACAAATGAATGCACACATTAATGCATGTACTCCTACTACTTTCATAAAAACACCTTTAAAAATAAGAACATTGGTTTTGCATCTATAAAAATCCAGTGTCTTATTATCTATTTGAAAAAATACGATCTTGTATGACTATAGAAAGAGACCTATATTTATGATAGGAAAATGTTAGCTAAAATTTGCCTCTCAATTTACCATTCAATTAACCATCTGCAACTAGTTAAACATCTCTAAGCCCTATTCTAGTTTCCTTTACAACATGAATTCACGTTTTCCATGGTTTTATCAAGTACTGCACATGAAAGCACTTTGTAAACTGTGAAACACTATAAATGGAAGATCCTATTATTGTTTGCCTTTCTTGGAAGACATACAGCAAGAAGCTGCCTTTGCTCCAGGTGTTGTGAAGATAAGGTGTACTTAGGATCAGAGTGTGCTCTGTTTCAACATGCCACTTAGAGCTGATGCAGTGGATGGCAATTGAGTTTCTATTATGGCAAATCCCCTTTCATTTCAAGAACTGTAATGCTCTGCCTGGCTGCTATTACATTTTATATGTTGTCAGTTACAGGTTCCAGAGTAAAGTATCACAGTGATGTCAGATGTAGATTAAAAGAAGGTAGTACTGGCTCTGAATGAAAGAAACGGTGATACTCACCAGGTGGATGTCTGAGTTGGAACATGTTTTCATCCCTTGTGACTGAACAGCTTACATTATGAGGTGGTAAGTTGGCATTCATTATGAATCCCTCATTGGAAATCAGAACCCAAGAACTCTCTAGAGTTGGGGTGAAATTAGGGTACTGGCTTCTCTTTCATATTTACAACTCAAAAGGATTGTCATTTAATTCTCTCTCTATATCTGGTCTGCTAATACCCAGATTGGACAACTGCCTTCAACAATGAAAGTCACCTTGGCTTCCAACTCTTTTTAAGATCAATTCTCTCTTCAAATGGCTTCAGCAAAGAGTCTTTGCATCTGTTGCTCTTTGTTAGTTCCATAGAGAAGGATGATTTTTCTGTTGTCCATGCTTTTGTGGTTCTGATGGAAGGGAAGATCTTCCTTAATATTCCATTGGATAATTGGAAATATTAAGTGTGTTCTTAATAGTTCTTTATTCTCACTCTAATTACAAATCAAGTTAGGAGTTTTTTTGGAATTTTCTGAATTAATGATGACCAACTGTTTTTGATTTGTTGTATGTCCTGGCTCAATTGAATTCATTGCTGGAGAGAATTTAGGAATGTGAAGCAGGATATGAAAAGTGCATCTGATTCAATTAGTGATTCTTATGTGTGATTCTCACAATAATGTAGAAGCTGTGGGCAAGATTCTTGTTTGGGGGACTTGAGCATAAAATATTCCACAACCATGGTGTGGCTTCTTATCCAAGTTAATCATTTTTAATCTGCATATTTTCATTTATAAGGGGAAAATGTTGGATTAATCATTAAATCTATCATTGATTCTAGAAAATTTACTCAAATACATGTTCCCTTCATGACATTTCCGTGATACTTATTGAAAGGAATAATCAAGTAAATACTAATAGAACTGGATAGATATATCTAAGATGTACCACATGACTTTCTAGAAAAATCTTATTCCAGGATTTTAGATTAAACCCCTCTCTAGGTAAAAATTTCTGTAATTTATTTTTTTTCCATTTTTCTTGATGTATTCTTAGTCCTAGAGGAAATATATTTTGGTATTCTATTTTTTGAAAATAAAATAATATGTAAAGAGTTTGATTAAAATTACTTTATTAATACTAACAATAACTTATTTTTATGTTAGCTCCAGAATTTTTGAAATGCGTTCTATTTGTCTTCTATGACTGTTAAACTAAAACTGACATTCAAATCTATTAACATTTCAATGAAATATTAGCATACATTTTGCCTCAGGTAATATGTAGCAAAGCTAATAACTATTTCCTTCTTAAAGTTTCACAATCCCAAAGGTCTCTATTAACATTTTCTGTCCTTAATGTGATATTTAATCAAATAATACTTTTTAAGTTGGTTTTCAATCTAATATTTGTTTTATTTCTGAAGTGCTTTAGGCTGTAAGGGCATATTGCTATCTCTTTTTCTCTCTCTCTTTCTCTCTCTCAATGTGTACTTGATTTTAATATATACAGTAATAACCATAGTTTTCATTTAATAATATGATCATAATAATGATTTCCAGACACTGTTCTCAATGCCTTACATTTATTAAGGCACTTAATTTTTAGCACTCTTTGTGTCCAATATCAAAAGAGGGTATTGAGCTACAGAGTGAAAGAGAGAACTTAATGTTGTCCAGATTTCAAATGGTAAATGACTAAACTATGATTTGAACCCAGACAGGTTGGCTCCCCAGTCAGTGATCATGGGACACTGATGTCATTTGTTTTCCAAACTGGCATACGTTTGAGAGTCATGGGTGGCAATATGCTTTTATCTGTTACTACAGTATGATTATAGTCTCACAGTAAAGCAACACATTTAAAATGCACTGTACTTATGAAATGTGCTTTTTCTTTGGGTATGGCTGTAATTGGATTAACCACTAAAAGATGAGTGATGCTTGACCATGGATAGTGAAATAGAGACAGACACAGGAATTTGGAGAACACGCTGACAAGGATAAAACATTTTCTAATAGATTTGCATGTTGAATCAATTTTTAATAATAAGAATACATTAAAATTACATGAGGCATTTTGTAAAATTATGAAGATATTATTAACAGTCAGTAAATTATATAAGTAAAACATTACAGTGAAGAAAAATAAGTAATTTCCTTTCTGAGCATAATTTTGGATATATGTGCTGATAACTTATTAAAACCTGGAGAGATTTGATGACAAATGTGACCAAATCACTGATTTCTATTTTAAGAGTAGGGAGACATAAAAATGATTCTGCCTCTATGGCTTCACACATTTGTTGGAATAAAGCTTTTTGGCCAATGTGATGTGTTATATGGCAATGAGGAAGAAGTTAAGTTAATGGCATTGGCTAAAATATGGTGATGGAAGAGGCAAAATATGATGTACGTGTTGTAGTATTTTTCACATGCATGTAGCTCACTGGGGGCCTTCACCTCCTCAGTGGGTGTCACATGCTGATTACCAATGATAACATCTGACAAGTATATTCGCACACACACACACAAAACCACTTCCTATTTCAGAGGAAGATTTATTTGGGGGAAATCCAAGTTAGAAGGTCTTACCTGGTTGCCTTAACTTCTGTGACAAAAATATTTTTAAGAGGATAATAAGATGTTACTAAATAAACTGAGATAGAAGTGAGATGGCATACTGTGTGACAAAGGTTCTATCCATTCCAGACAGTCGAGGTGTAAGTCTTGGAGCCCAGAATGACAATCTTCCTTTACAATGCAATTGAAACCTCACCTGTTCATACCATGCTTTTCAGTTATGACAGACACTCCTCTGGGGACTGTGCACGTGAACTGGTTATTGCTCAGATATAGGCAGTAAAAGCTATCCAGTGCTGGCTGTAGTTAGAGCCCTGGATATGACAGTGATGATGGGTAAAGCTATGAATGTAGATACAATTCTGATGTGCATGCCAATATATTCCCAAAGTTGTTGTTCACCTTGCTGATAAATTTTTGATGTTCAATGATTTATGTGTCCTCACAATTTTCTTTTCCTCTTCTGGATAGTTGCTGTCAATATGAAATCTCTGCTAACTCTTTAGTCACTGAGGAAGAGTCTAACAATTTGATGCAATCAATATTTCAGTATTTCCTCTTAAATTGTCAAATTGTAGCATTCTAGCCTCTCTGTGTATACATTGTAGTTTTTGTATGGCAGCTCCTAAATAAATTCATTCATAGTCACCTAATAGGGTATGTTTCTGTTTGCATTTGTCAAAAAATTTATGACTCTTTTTACAATTTATCAGCTAGGCCACATTTAAGAGTTGTAATAATCCAGATGAAATGACCTACCTAGAATTCTGGACAAACATGTCTTCATAAATGTGTTTACCAATTTCTATAACTTGACTCATCCCTGTTTATTGACAATCTGTTAAACTCTGGGTGTGTTTTTTATTAGGTCTATTATAAAATATATATAGAAGCTTGCCTAATAATCCAGAAAGTCTGTTTTTGCCTCTTTTGTTGCTTATGCAAAAAATGTTCACTTTTGAAATGCAATTTGTGTTTCTGAGTGAAGATAGGAAATTGTTTGGATGAATAGGCCTAGATATTTGAAAAAAATTAAAGGAAACCAATAGATTCTGCAAGTGAATGAGGGAAATTATATGTCAAAAGCGAAATGAAGATTTTCATAAGTTTTTTAAAAAATTCAAGATCTGCTTTGCACAGTAGCAGTGCCATAGCCAATGAGGTTTATCTGAGGTGTGATCATTGCTAATTGAAAACTCTCCCCCAAATATCAAGATCTAATAAATAAATTTCATAGGAAAAGCTACTTGGTAACCAAAAGTTTGTGGCTGTCTGATGCAAATACTGTGGTAGTTATATTTTCTTGTTTTTAATTTTTAGCATTTGGGTTGCTATCTTATTATTTCTTTAGAAATATAGATTCTGGGCCACAAATTCATAGTAATTATTTTAAGTGTAAATTTGAAAACTAAAAGGGTACAAAGTCTATATGTAAAGACATCAAGAGCCTGAGGGCTCCTCTTCTGGTGTAGGTCAGAGGTTGCCCCTGATTCCTTGTTCACCATTACATCTCCAGAACACTGTCCAGCACCCATGGATTCAATACATATTTATGAAATAAGTTCATGTACAAATGCATTTTCGTTACAATGATGCAAATTTAATGTTTTCAATATTTAATACTATTTTGTAAAAATTCATTCTAGCCTCACAATAACCTAATGAATTTTATTGACCTTAATATCTCATTTTGAAAGGTGGGAAGTGCATCTTAGTTAGTTTGTAAGATATAAAAATGGCTGGAATCTCAACTTTTGATTTCTGGGTCTATATTTCACTGTCTAATTAATTTCTATGGAATTCTAGGATACTGTTTTAATGTATTTCAAAGAAAAGTCAAATATTAATTCTTTTTGGTGATTCCCTCCATTATAATTTGAAAGAATTGTGGATTTTTATCTTCAGTTCGCTGCACAAAGTCCAATATTCACTAAATAAATAAAATGAGAGAATAGTTTGAATGAATTGATTGTAAAATGTAATGACGTAGTATAGAGTCCTTACAAAACAGTTATTATATGCATAAGTTGAATAATTTGTGAATGTCAAAATATTAATTTGATAGTTAGAAAAGAGTATTCAATAAGAGATACAGGGAAAACTGAATATCCACAAGCAAAAGAATGAAGCTAGACATCTTTCTACTCAAAATATTAATTCTAAATGGACCATAAACCTAAATACAAAGACTACAACGATAATGGCCATAAATCTTCATGACCTTGAGTGAAGACTTCTTAATTACAATTAAGAAAAAAGTGACAAGGAAAAAATAGATATATTTGACATTATCAAAAAAATTCTTTGGTGAAATTTTCAGTATACAAAATTGAGATAATTCACAGAAGAGGAGAAAGTTCGCATGGTATCCTTATGAAGGACTTAGTGAACCCTTGGAAAAACTATACCTTTAACATGGATCTTAAGTGGCCACCTTGGCCTGAATACACAATGGAGCTGAGTAGCCACTTGCGACCAGAAACTGCCAACATTATCTGTTGTGAACTGAG